TCTCTCTCTCTCTCTCTCTCTCTCTCTCTCTCTCTCTCTCTCTCTCTCTCTCTCTCTCTCTCTCTCAATCAATAATTCTGAGCCGTTCAAAGTGGACAGAGTGGGGCCACGGTGAGTACTAAGTACGTCAACCCACAAGTGGAGCACACTTCAAATTTAACACCTAAACCTTTGATTGATTAATCAATTAATTAAATAATTAATCAATTATTACATTACAGTGTCAAATAAAATGTGATATATTTATTAAAAATTAAATGTGAGTTGTTGTCGGTCCCATTTTTGTTAACATAAGACCAATGGGAGTAAAGATGCTGTCTACGCTTTGCTCGAAGCTTGGCCGATTTGTAATCCCTAAAATTCGTTAAAAAAATTAGTGTGAAGTAATATTCATGATCAATGATTTATTTATTCATGTAAATTATAAAATTGTAAAGATGTAATAAACTAAAACATTAGATTATACAATTGTTTAGAAATATAAACGACACTTTGTTATCAATGAGGTAAATTTTGTTGTTTTAAAATTTTCGATTTTTTCATAGATTAAGATTATTAAGGTGATCATTATTTTTTATTTGACAAATATCATTGTCAATTTTTTTTAAAAGATCATCAACTATTTTGATCATGCTCGAAGAAACTAGCGAGCAAAATTATGCAGCTTTTGCCCAATTTGGCAAGTTGATAATATAATTGTTTCTTTTTTTTTTTGTTACTCTGTCGGCTGATGCACACGCGCCGTTTGATTATGTTGGGGTTTATGATTGGATTTTATAATTACTGCTGAAATATTTCTAACAAAATAATCTTCAAAAATTGCAATAAATTGTTTATTAAACAACTAATGATTGTTATTATTATCTATCTTTCAAATTCCCATTCACTCCTCGGTATCTTTTGATGCTTCCAAAAAGATCCATTCCATTATCCAAATGACATAGATTATTCTTTTGACCAAATCGATGGTTTGAGTTAATTTCGCTTTTATTATTATAGAAAAATAATGAAGACAGTCAAAACATTCATCCAGATTATACAATGAATGTATAATTTAATTTCCATATTTTCTCGCACATAAATATTTACAATTAGACACAAGCTGATTTGACTTAAATTTTTTTCCATTTGCGATATACATACATACATACATACATAATATATTGTGTTAGAACAATTCACACACATATATATATATTATCATATATTTATAGATTTCAATCCAAATTTGTAGCAATGATAAACTAATATATTAGAGCGGGGGTCCAATTTAATTAAACAAATACGTGGGTGCGTTTTTTAATAAATAATTAATATAGGTAGTGCTTTTGGTATTTCGCGTTTTATTACACATCGCACATCCATTTGTACTTGTCCTGTTCAGAAATGCTATATATATATACTACTCGCCTTCGCTCACTGCGAAACTTATACCAAAATCTTAGTTAATCCCAATCCTTAAAGCATTTATTAATCAGTCTAATAAGTGATTAATTAAGAGATTAAGCCAGTGATCTGAGCTGCATGGCGAGGGGTCAGAAGCTGACGATGAGCCGTAGCGAGCGTTACTTGGGGAGCTACAGTTACGGCGACGGTCACCCAAACTCCGTCACGGACCAATCGGAGCTCGTCGAGGACGACATCTGGTCCGCTACCGCCGAGCACGAACACGAAGATGAAGGCGCGTGGACTCCACGCTCCTCCGCAAACGACGTCTGGTCCATCGTGGAACGAGCCGAAGCTCCGAGTCCGGTCGAAACGTATGGCGCGTGGCCAGCACGCGCCGCCGCGGCGAGGGACGGATTGTCCCTGGCGTTCCAGGATTCGTCTTCTTCCTCGACGATCGTTCACCCCCCCCGCCGTAACGGTTACGAAGGTGGTGTAGGAGGAGGAGGTAGTGGCGGTGGTGGTCGGCAATTGGCGACGTCGGCGCCGGTGAACGTGCCGGACTGGAGCAAGATATACCGAGTCAACTCGGTCGAGTCGATACACGAGTCGGAGGACGAGGAGGATTCCGGTATGGTGCCGCCGCATGAGTACCAGGTGCGGCGGAGCAGGAAGATCGGCGGCGGAGGTGGAGCGTCGTTGTTCCAAGGCGTTGGGAGAACGCTGAAGGGCCGGGAACTGCGTCGCGTTCGCGACGCAATTTGGAGCCAAACAGGGTTCTATGGCTAATTAAGTAGTAATAAATTTCAAAAAATTAAAAAAAAAATCATTTAAAAAAATTGAATTGGAATTACTCATTTTGTCCGATAGATGAATTCGTCCCCTCTTTTGTTTTTTTCGTTAATATAAATCTAATGGTTTATATTTAATCTATAAATTTTGAGATTTTTACGTCAGAAATTTTGTCCTTTTTTTATTTGGTGATATTTCTAAGCTCGAAGAGAAATATAAATCATTACTGTCAAAAAATTATTCATGGATTTACATGCAAAAGAAATTGTTTTTCACCTTCAATTTTCGAAAGTACATTATATCATGTGTATTTAATTAATATATTGAAATTCAATTAGTTTTATTTGGAGTCAATCGCTATACTATTCATGTATAAGTACAAGGAAAATTAATTGTACATGTCTGTATACAATTAAGGATACCATAAAACCAAATCAGAAGGATTTAATTAGGTTGCAGCTCACATGCTTTCCGATATAAACTTTAGGTTATTTTTATAATAGTATGCGCTGTAGTTGGTGATATATATATATATATATATATATGTTTAAATGAAAACCACAAAAATAAATAATTTATACTAATTTGCTGCAAATGCATTCAGATTTCAAAAGAAGAAAAAAATGTGACTTGACTCACTACATAGACCACGGCTTGTGATAGAGACATGTACAGATAAACCTTATAAATCGGGTTTTAGGTTAGGTGTTATACGTAATAAGAATCTTAATCATTGAGCTTAATCAAATTGTATCCATCTTTAATTAATAGTTACTAAATGTGAAAGGGAAGTTGTAAAATTAAATGAAAAAATAAAAAACCAAATACGCCAAGAAATGAAAGCATGAGGTCCACATATAAACAGTAGAAAGAATCCACTTCAAAGTGTCCACTCACGAGCACAGATGCATGGAAGAAAAATTATCAATTATTTGTGTTGTATATATATATATATATATATGATAGTGATATATCGAAAATTATTAAAAATGTATGGAACTGTGACGACATTCATACAAAAACACACACACACCCCTATATATATATATATATATATATATATATATATTGAGTTTGATATTTCTATTAGTTACGAGTTATGAAAAAGACGCTCTAACATA